GAATGTATTCTGTCTCTTGAGGAGAATATATGTGCATATGGTTGTTTTCCTGTGAAAGAAGAAGCTTCATGGAATTTGCCAAAGGCCTAAGGTTTTGCTGTGTAAGCATGAACATGAGTGAACCAATAAAATTTATCTTACCATGAACAGGAGATCAGGACGCCATCCAATATATGTGCAGAGAGGCACCAAAAGCAGTCATTGAGCTTGAGAATTATGGATTACCATTTTCCCGAACGGAGGATGGAAAAATATACCAACGTGCATTTGGTGGTCAAAGCTTGAACTTTGGAAAAGGTGAGTGCTGATTTTGAAGTGGGAGTGGTTTCTTTTTTCTTTTTAAAAGAATTCTCACCTTGGGTTCCTTATGCTGCTGTTGCACAGGCGGACAGGCATACCGTTGTGCATGTGCTGCTGATCGAACTGGACATGCTTTATTGCACACTCTCTATGGCCAGGCCATGAGACATAATACACAATTTTTTGTGGAATATTTTGCATTGGATCTTTTAATGAATAGTGATGGTAAGTGTTGCATAGAAGACTTACTTTCTCATGGAGCAACCTACAATCAATTAATTGAACAAGGTCAGAAGAGTCAAATACTGAGAATTGGGGGTTGGGGAAGGTTTAAAAGAGACTATATGCAACAATGTCCATAAAGTGCTGCACAAAATTGATTTTAGGAAGTTGCAATTTCTTGTAATGATTATCTGTTCATCATATATGATGGTGGCCCCAGCTTCTTTTTTTTTCCTTTGATTCTCAGAGTTCCAATCAATATCAATATTATTTATAAAGACAAATTCAGGTGTTTACACAACTCATGGAGTGACAAAAGAATAACAATTTTGATGTGTCAATGTTATATTTTATGGTAAAATTAACTAATTCTTCATATTGGAAATTCAGGTAGTTGCCAAGGAGTGGTCGCATTGAATTTGGAGGATGGAACATTACACCGGTTCCAAGCAGCTTCAACAATTTTGGCCACAGGAGTATGACTTTATAAGAATGTCTGATGCTGGAATTCTTATCTGCCTACGTCTTGTTATGCATATAACTTGTGCATGAAATTTCTAAATTCCTTCAGGGTTATGGTAGAGCATACTTTTCTGCGACCTCAGCACATACATGCACAGGAGATGGCAATGCCATGGTTGCACGTGCGGGGCTTCCGCTCCAGGTTCCTTTTTAACTGTTTGTGGTTATCTTAGGCTGTGAATTTTCTCTGTCACAGTTTCTTGGCATAAATTTGTAGGATTTGGAGTTTGTGCAATTTCACCCAACGGGTATATATGGAGCTGGTTGCCTAATCACAGAAGGTTGATAGTTTACTTTCTTAATTGCTACCTGTTACATGCCTTTGGTTTCATCTCACAAGGCACCTCATCCAATGAAAGTTGAAAAATACTGTTTCTCATTTTCTTGTGAATGCCCTAGGTTCCCGTGGAGAAGGGGGAATTCTTAGGAATAGTGAAGGTGAGCGATTCATGGAACGTTATGCTCCTACTGCAAAGGATCTTGCATCAAGAGATGTTGTTTCTAGGTCAATGACTATGGAGATACGAGAAGGCCGTGGTGTAGGTATGCTGGTTTTCTGTTTATACATCCAGGTGTTGGGAGATATATATGCTTTTGTCCTTCAGGAGTTAATAGGAATTATGGATGCTATTAATTTGGGGATGGACAAGACCGTATGAATGCCAATAAAATTTACCAGCTCAAAACTGGGAATGGGGATCTTTATAAATATTGTCAGTGTCTTGTCTGGTTCTGGGTAGTGTGCTACCCACTCAATATGGGTCCAAGGTTGGGGGACCATAGAGCACTACCCAGGATCATTTCCATATCACGTGGTGATATGTTGATAACTGATGCAACGTACCTTGCGTGAAATCTAGTGTCTGAACATAATGAGCTGTTTGTCAACTTTGCTTCCTTCTAGAAATACACGTTAATATTTAAAACCTATGAATTTGTGGCTTATTTGACCTACAGCTGCATGGAACCTTGACCTTTGTATTTACTAATCAGGGAATGTTTGTTCTTCTGTTTTCCCCCTTCTCCCTGGTGGATTATGCCCCTGTTTAATTTGGATATGCTTGCATTGACAGTAAGATAAATTTACTTTGCAGGACCTCTGAAAGATCACATCTATCTACACTTAAATCATTGCCCCCTGATGTGCTCAAGGAAAGGCTTCCTGGTATCTCTGAAACTGCTGCTATATTTGCTGGTGTGGATGTTACAAAGGAACCCATTCCGGTTTTGCCGACTGTGCACTAAACATGGGCGGTATTCCCACAAACCATTATGGAGAGGTATGAAGTTTTTGGGGGGGGGGGGAGGGAAGGTCATTGAGCTATTCACTGACACTGAGACACGGGCTGCTGCCTATAAAGGCATGTTAATTCTTATGGATTTAGTTATTGACCCGAACACATAGATGTCATTCGGCAAATATTTATATTAAAACCTTTTTAACTGTAGCGTAACTTCCATATCAATAGACTCCCAGTCACTTTGGGGCAAGGTGAGAATTTTGAGGATGTGGTATTGATGGACCCCAATCTGGGGTGTCTGTGCAAGGATGGAGGAATAGGGGACTGTTAAGGGAAACTAGAATGCAAGCAAAGCTAAATCATGTGTGCGTAGTCAAGTTGTGCAACTAAGGGTAAAATGGTTCAAAAACATTGGCTTCTATGGAAGAGTCTCATTCCTGAGTTGCCCTAATGTTAACTTGTTTCCCATATCTGGCGGAGGAAACTCTTTTTTTTTTTTTTTTGGGGGGGGGGGGGGGTGTCTTCCAGCATACTAAATGAGGTAATTTAATGCTTTTTTTATTTTCCTTTCTGAAGTTCAAAATTTCATGCTACCAAGTGGGCTCAAAGTGCATAATGGTAGCAAGTTCAGAGAAAATATGAAAATGTGGCAATGTTCACTTTTGCGAGGCTACATTTTTGGTTGGAGGGTACTAAAATGGTGTTGTTAATAACTATGTGAACCACTATGTGCGTACATGGTGGAGGTGGCGGCATTGCTTCTGGTATTTTGTGTATGTTTGCCACAAAAAAATGGCCAGATCTTTTTCATTATGAGTTTCTGTTCCTAGATTTCCTGACAACTTGTTTGGACTGTGGGCTTGGGATTATTTAATTCTGTTGTGTGGTGGGAAAAGGGGGAATAAATGGATTTATTAGTTCAAGTAATCGTCTTATCTGCTATATTTCTTCAGTAGAAACAATTTTAGCCGTTGTGCTTTTTATTTTTATTGTTTAGTAGGGGAGTAAGGGAGAAGAAATTGTTGACCAATGTGCCGTTATGTTATTTAGGTGGTTACCATTCAAGGTGATAATCCAGATGCGGTAGTACCAGGTCTGATGGCTGCTGGGGAAGCAGCCTGTGCGTCAGTCCATGGTGCCAATAGGCTTGGTGCAAATTCACTTCTGGACATTGTTGTTTTTGGTAGAGCTTGTGCAAATAGGGTTGCAGAGATCCAAAGGCCAGGCAAGATTCTTTTCCAGTTTTTAAAATGGATTGTTTGCACTGAAATTGTCATGATTGAAATAGAAATGCATCTACTTCTCATTTTGCAGGAGCAAAACAGAAGCCTTTGGAGAAGGACGCTGGTCAAAAAACAATTGCATGGCTGGATAAATTGAGAAACTCAAACGGTTCATTACCAACTTCAAACATTCGACTAAATATGCAGCGAGTAATGCAAAACAATGCTGCTGTGTTCCGTACACAGGAAACATTAGCAGAAGGTAATCATTATTATATTACATATACTCAATCCCCTAGGTTCCTTCCTATTCCTCAATTATCCTTCATTTTGACCAATTCTATGTGGTCAAAACCCTATTTGGCCCTAAAAATATGTTTGATATTTCATATGGATCCTGAGAGTGTTCCAGTCCCAAATAGATCCTGAGAGTTTCAAAACTTACATTTATTTGGAACAAAAAATTCCTAAAAATATCACAATATAGTTATGGGACCAATATAGGGTTTTGACCGTACTATATTTACCTTCTTCCTCTGAACTTCTGCTACTGGGCAGGTTGTGAATTAATTGATAAAGCATGGGAGAGTTTCCATGATGTAAGGTTGAAGGACCGGAGTCTGATATGGTAAAACTTATTTTGCAAATGTGACAAGAATTAATATTCAGGAAATTCTGCTTATTCACTCTTGACTGTTTATTTACAGGAATACAGACTTAACTGAAACGATTGAGTTGGAAAACCTTTTGATAAATGCTTGCATCACCATGCGCTCAGCTGAGGCTAGGAAAGAGAGTAGAGGAGCACATGCCCGCGAGGACTTTACAGTGAGTGATTTATTTCCCATCTACTGTCTAGATTTTTATTATGCATGAAAGAATAGTGATGACTGATTACCTTGTTTGACTTTGCAGAAAAGAGATGATGAGAATTGGATGAAGCACACATTAGGGTAAGTCATGTTCAAATTTTATCTTTTGAACATTGATTTGCTTCAACAGAAGTCACTATAATTAAGAATTCAGTCACTCTTTCTTGCGGTAACTTTGATCTTTATTGTTTCCGTTAACATCAATATAAAATCTAAAAGGAGCATTGGGTCACAATAGTGACAAGGTTTATCTTGGGTTCCATGCTTACTCTAAAGTTTATGCTTATTCTTGCTGAAAGAACACGTGAACAACAACAGCCAAGCAGTCACCAAACCTGACACTAAAGTGAGAGTTATATTGACATGGATGGTCGTATTATATTTATAGATAATAAATGATTGCAACTCCATCTGGATGTTGGTCCCTTATGAGTGGTTCTTATTTGAAGATCACCAATCATTGCTATTCCAGTAGTTGTCTTAACACTAGTATTGTTTCTGTTGAACAGTGAAATTTGATACAATGATGAAACTCTTAATTTGCTGCTGTATAGACAGGAAGTTTAGATTTTATAAACCATAGGGGAAGTCGAAGACTAGTTCATTTTCACTGTTTCTGACCATCGGCGTGGTAGTTGTGGCTGGTCTTCATAAGTTAATGCACTTAACCATAGCCACGGCAACAATGGAAGTATTTTAAGATTTTTTTTTTTTTGGTAGCGTTGCAAATTTGCGGTGGCTTTTGGATCGGTTGCTTGAAATAGTTCTGTTGGTTTGCTGAATTTGTTGCTATGCATTTGATTTGCAGATACTGGGAGAATGAGAAGGTCCGCCTAGATTACCGGCCGGTGCACATGAATACATTGGATGATGAGGTGGAATCATTCCCTCCTAAAGCTCGTGTGTATTAATATACTCATTAAACTATCGTGTATGGCTTGTGCGGAATCTCTCTGTCGAATGGGTTCTGCTAGCAAGAGCAGGCAATAAAGTGTTGTAGATGGTAGTTTTGACGATAAACTGTAGCGTTCATCATCAAGGTTTAATTGATCTATATCAAGGCATAGTCAATGAGAAGGCGAGAAACGAGTACATTGTATCTGCATCACACAATAATCGCAATACAATTGAAAGAATTGTATTTCAGGCGAATCAAAGAGAGGTGTATGGCTTTTGAATGTTCTTTTCTTCTCTTCTTATTCAAGTGAAGCAAGCATACCCCGCGATTTTCAACTTGAATACTTTGTTTTTTCAATCTAGTTTTTAATATTTGTGAAAGAGGCAAGAATATGAATGGAAAAATGTCTTTGAAAATAATTCCAAATAAACTCTCAGAATTTCAATGAAAGGGATTACGACAGTTTCAATATGAAGTCTTGAATATGAGTCTGAGTCTTAACAGCTATTTGTGCTGCAATCCCTAATTGAATCTGTTATTTGCTTAAATTTAATTAAATGATATTGAATGTAAGATACTAACAGGAGTTTAGGTTTAACGAAAGATATTAGTTTTTTGCAAAGTGGTGAACCAAGATTTGAATTTTTACTGAGAGAGATATCTATTTTTAGTGTCGGATGGTGTTTCAAATAAAATTGTTTCTAATAAAAGGATATTTATATGTAGCAAAAAATATATATATATTAAATATAGGATAGCTATTTGTGTGTCTATATTATATATAACACTTCTATAATATTTATAAGAAATGCATTGTTTTTTTAAATTTTTAAATTTTCCTTTGAACTTAAAAAATAAAAAGTGAGAATTTTACTTTTATTGTTAAATTGAGTATTGTAGTTGACAATGTGAAATTTGGAGCTCCGCAGTAAAAATTTAAGAGTTGATTATTAATTTTTAATATACTACTTCCGGTTCTTGTTATAAGAGTTAATTGACTAATTTGAAGAGATTAGAAAAATAAGTTAAGTTAGTTATTTGTAATAAATAAGTATTGTCTTTCCTAAAATATTCTTGCTAATAAAATGTATTGGTTAGAATTATTATTATTATTTATAGAATCACCTTAAGAAAAAATATAAATAAAAAATAAAATAGATTGAAGTCTTAAATTTAAGGGAAAATTGCAAATAAAGACCCCTCAATATATAAAATAGCAATCAGGGACCCTGAATTTGAAAAATTGCTCACAAGGACCCGGTCCCAATTTGCAATTATGAAATCATGGCCAAATTACCAAAATACCCCTCTTTAATTTTTTTTTAAAAAAAGAACACCCCTGCCTCGCCGGAATCTGGCCGACGGCGCCGGAGTTCCAGCCGCCAGAGCTCCGCCACCTCGGCCGCCGGCCGGCCGGAGCTCCGATGCAGGCGGCCGGATTCCGACGACCTTCTTTATTTTTTTTTTTGAAACTGTTTTTTTTTAAAAATTGGGGGAAGTGAGGAACCTCATGCTTCCCAAAATTAGGAATGACCATTGAGCCAATAAATTTTTGCTAACATTATAATACAAAAAAAAAAATATAAGTTAACTCATTTACTCTTGTTCTAGGTGATAACAAGAATACATTTGAAAATAACAAGTTCTGATTATAAAATAACAAGTCTGGGATTAAAATTTAACAACACGTTTTTTTATAACAACACACTCTGTTGCAGTTGATACAACAACAATACATTTGAAAATAACAAGTTCTGATTATAAAATACAAGTCTGGGATTAAAATTTAACAACACGTTTTTTTTATAACAACGCACTCTGTTTCAGGTGATAACAACAATACATTTAGAAATAAACAGGTTCTGATTATAAAATAACAAGTCTGGAATTAAAATTTAAGAGCACCCTTTTTTTATAAAAAACACATTTTATTCCAAGTGATAACAACAATACATTTGAAAATAACAAGTTCTGATTATAAAATAAGGATTAAAATTTAACAAACACGTTTTTTTTTATAACAACACACTCTTTTTTAGGTGATAACAATAATACATTTGGAAATAACAGGTTCTGATTATAAAATAACAAGTCTGGAATTAAAATTTAAGAGAGCACCTTTTTTTATATAACAACACATTTTATTCCAAGTGATAACAACAATACATTTAAAAATAACAAGTTCTGATTATAAAATAAGAAATAAAAATTAAAATTTAACAACACATTTTTTATAACAATTAATTATTTATACTTTTGAAAAATATATTATTTATAACTTATAAAAAGTATTTTAAATCTATTTAATTGCTAAAAAAATAATTTTTATCTCCAATTTATAATCAAAACTTGAAGTGTAATTTATATAGATTAAAAATACTTTTTATTGTTCAAATTTATAAATAAATTTAGAGAAAATAACAACACACTTTTTTAATTTTTTTTTAAAAATTTTAATCTATATATCTACAAACTCATTATAAATCAAACTACTTCTTATAAATTATAAATAGTATAATTTATTGTAGATTAAAAATACTTTTGATTGCTTAAATTTATAAATGAAATTATCTCTAATTTATAATTAAAATACTATTTTTTTCTTTAAATATAAAAACTATTTTGAATATTTAAAGAATGAAATAATAAATTATACTATAATATTTAAATACTTAATAATAAATTTTAATATTTAAAGAATGAAATAATATAAAAATATTATAATGAGTTGTATAGATATATAGATTAAAAATTTTTTAAAAAAAAATTAAAAAAGTGTGTTGTCATTTTCCCTAAATTTTATTTATAAATTTGAACAATAAAAAGTATTTTTAATCTATAATAAATTACACTTCAAGTTTTGATTGGAGATAAAAATTATTTTTTTAGCAAATTAAATAGATTTAAAATAATTTTTATAAGTTATAAATAATTATTTTTCAAAAGTATAAATAAAATAATAATTGTTATAAAAAAATGTGTTGTTAAATTTTAATTTTAGATTTCTTATTTATAATCAGAACTTGTTATTTTCAAATGTATTGTTGTTATCACTTGGAATAAATGGTTGTTATATAAAAAAAAAGGTGCTCTTAAATTTTAATTCCAGACTTGTTATTTATAATCAGAACTTGTTATTTCCAATGTATTGTTGTTATCACCTGAAAAAGAGTGTGTTGTTATAAAAAAAAACGTGTTGTTAAATTTTATCCCAGACTTGTTATTTTATAATCAGAACTTGTTATTTTCAAATGTATTGTTGTTATCACCTGCAACAGAGTGTGTTGTTATAAAAAGAAAACGTGTTGTTAAATTTTAATCCAAGACTTGTTATTTTATAATCAGAACTTGTTATTTTCAAATCTATTCTTGTTATCACATGGAACAAGAGTAAATGAGTTAACTTATATTTTTTTGGTATTATGATGTTAGCAAAAATTTGTTGGTTCAATGGTCATTTTAATTTTGGGAAGCATGAGGTTGGGAGATCAAATCCCCCCAACCTCACTTCCCCCCAATTTAAAAAAAAAAAACAGTTTCAAAAAAAAAAAAAAAGGAAGGCCGCCAGAATCCGGCCGCTGGCATCAGAGCTCCGGCGGCCGAGGTGGCGGAGTTCCGACGGCCGGAACTCCGGCGCCGGCGGCCGGATTCCGGCGAGGCAATGGTGTTTTTTTTTTGGAAAAAAAATTAAAGAGGGGTATTTTGGTAATTTGACCATGATTTCATAATTACAAATTGAAACCGGGTCTTTATGAGCAATTTCTCAAATTCAGGGTCTCTGATTGTTATTTTATATATTGAGGGGTCTTTATTTGTAATTTTTTCTAAATTTAAAACTAAAATAAAAATTAAATAAGATTTTATATTAAACAACAGAGGTACGATGTTTTAATAAAAGCGCGGATGACCCGACTTTATCTTGAAAATGGAAAGGGTTTGCATTCTCAACTGCCAAGAGTAATGTTGTTGTAAAATATTCGACCCCGATCAAACTTGCAAGTAGTCGAACAAAAATTTGGCCCAAAAAAAAGTAGTCAAACGAAAATAATAGCTATCCGACCAGGCACAGGGAGGGGGAAAAAAAAAAACGAATTTAACGATCGTCGTCTTCCATTGTTTCATCCAGCGTTCTTGAAAATTAGGGTTTTAATTCTAATATTTAGCCTCTGGCAAAGTAGGGCGGAGATTCGATACTGTTATGGTGATGCCATTTAAATAGACATGTTCTTGTTGGAGTAGATTCACTGGACAATATGCAGGTCTAATATTGCTTACCCTCTGAAGCCACCGCCATTGAGGCCCTGACCTGGGGCCAAGGCCTGGACAAAGTCTCAATTGACGTTAGGCTAAAAATGCCCAATTTCTATAGACATTGAGTTTCGAAGAAAAATTCTCATGTCAAACACAAAGCCGGAGCAATGGCAGTGGGAAAACGCCACTGCCGGCGCCGTTGCGGGGTTTGCTACCGTCGTTGTCATGCATCCCCTAGACGTTGTCCGAACTAGGTTCCAAGGTTTTTTCAACACTGACTAAAAAAGGGATCAATATATCATTGTAAAAGCTAGCCAGCGGTCCAGCACTGCGCAATTGATGTTCTGATTTTTGTAATTTTTCTGGCAGTTAATGATGGTCGAGTTCCCTTTGTTCCCAGTTATAAGAATACTGCTCACGCCGTTATCACCGTTGCTCGCTCAGAGGTTTGTTCATCCAGTTTTCCCCCTTCTTAACTTATGTTTGTTATATGTTTACTTCTTGGTTCATTCTCGCTTGACTTTCGATTTCTTTTACTTTCGGCGCACTTAAGAGTGCTTAGTAGATTATGATCTTTACTTCCTATCATCTTGCTGTTGATTAATGTACCTATCCTCGTCGCATAATGCTCAACATTGGCGTGGGGTCGTTGTGGATCTATAATTGTCAATGACATGTTACTTCAGATGGTTCCTTAATTTTCAACTGTTGCGGGGAGGAATTTTATAATTAGAGAGGAGAAAATGGTTGTACATCATTTGAAGTGGTCTGGGCACGTGAAGAGAAAGCCATAGGAGGCGTCAGTGAGAAGGGTAGATCAAACAGTTTGGAGTTTTTAGAGGAAGGCCAAGGAGAATGTTCAATGAAGTTGAACGAGACATTATTGTTAACAACCTATCTAAAGACTTAGTTCTTGATAGAGTAAAATGACGTTGTGTGATCCATATAGTTGACCCCACCTAGTGGGATAAGACTTGTTGTTGTGTATAGTCTTGCAATTAGGCTTTTGTCAATGAAAATGTTTACAGCCATGGATGATAATGCACGGATCATTCTCCCACTAGTAATTGAGGGTTTTAATGTTCTCATCAATTACTATGGGAGACCAACTTCAGATTTAAGACTTTTGTGTGTACCATTCTATGAATATGCTGTATAAATACCATGCTTTATCATGTTGCAGGGCTTAAGAGGTCTTTACGCAGGCTTGCTTCCTGCAGTCCTTGGGTCAACTATTTCATGGGGTCTATACTTCTATTTGTGAGTACCAATTTTTGATTAATGAGGAAATAATTGTATCAAGTCAATATTCAATACATCAGTTCTGTAGCAGATGCTCAATTGGAAATGATAACTTTATATAGGATGGTTGAATGTTTGATATTTTTCATTTTAATCTCGCGTGCATGTTTTATGTATCTTATCGTCCAAAATTTTTTGCACATGTGACTCATGTCTAAGCTTTGGTGAACTTGAAATTTCTTTCTCTTTTATCTAAATATCTTTTCTTTTAGTTGGATCACAAGGGATATTTTCTGGTTGGCAATAGTTCATGAAGGAATTATTTCTTCTCTAAAGTAAAACATGCATAATATTCTTTAGCTGTTAGTGATTAAGGAGTGGGAATTCTGGAAACTTTATTTCAATTAAATATTTTGGAAGTTATATCTGCTTATTCTTTAGCATGTCAGGTGATTCTCTTCTTAATTTTTGTGTGTTTGTTCAACGAAATTCTCTGTCTTTCCCTGCACAACTTGGTTGTTACTTTTTATGTGTTAAACAGTCTATTTGTTTGCTTTCCTAAAAGACCAAGTTATTCACCCAAACTGTAGCTATGACAAAGCCAAACAAAGGTATGCGAGGAACAGGGAGGAGAAGCTGAGCCCTGGTTATCATCTTGCTTCAGCCGCTGAAGCAGGGACTTTGGTGAGTATGTAGAATTTTAATAATATGAATTTATAGCATATGGATTACTGTTTAGTAAGATATTAATATATTGCTCAACCGTGCTGGCATGCTATTGCTATTTGTTCTGGCTCCCTGGAGTGGGTTTCTGCTTCTCCCCACGTTTTTATGAAGTCTTTGTACAATCTTCTTGTATATGAGGCTCAAAGTACTACCAAAGATTAATGATTTTAGATTATGTAATGAAAATTATTGCCTGAAGGGAATCTGAAAATAGAAAAACCCTTCATGGTTATAGTTCTAGTGCAACTTCGCTTCCTGTTCAAGATACTCCCTAGCTAGCTTTATAGTAGGATGCTAGAAGGTCAACTTCAAAATCTGCCAAATTTTCATCTGCTTGCTTCTGAACTTTGTGGAGATTGAGCCTGCATTCTTTGTAATACCAGTGACCTTGGCTGTCTTTTTTGGGCTTTCATTGACCCATGTTGATGTTTGTCAGGTTTGCTTATGCACAAATCCTGTTTGGCTAGTAAAAACAAGAATGCAGCTTCAGAATCCTCTGCATCAAGCACAACCGTATAATGGGATTTATGGTCATATCTCCATCTTGCTCTCTGCTTGAATGTGCATGAATCTCTCTGTTTTTATTTCTATTAGTGATATTCCATTTATGAGCTATTAAATTTAGAATAATCATTATTTTCTACATTCACGACTTTCTTCGTCTTAACTACTCTAGAAGCGGGAATATAGCTTCATTTATCAGATTGATTGCATTTGACGTATACTATTCAGTAGTAAAGCATTTGGCCTTTTCACTTGGTCTTGGTCATGGTCATGGTGCCTTGACCACCTTTTTTTTCCTAGTACAAGCACTCAGCCATTAATATCATGCATTCTTGTCATATTAAGCCGTTTTACAACATTACTTTGCATAAGTTGGTTTTGTGGGGGTTTGGTGAATTAAATATGGTTTTTTGACCTGTTTCCATTGTAGTATTTGTTCAGGTGATTTCAATTTTTTGGAGATGGGAATGATTAATTTTTTGAATTAAATGGGGAGGGGTGAATTTATTTGTTTCAATCACCTTACACTCGATGATTAGAGAACATGTTGCTTACTGTGATAACATTCATTATTATATGATTTGCTAATAAATTGTGCATTTTTCTTTGCTATAAAATCAAATATCAGATGCATTTAAAACCATCATGAAAGAAGAAGGATTGAGGGCATTGTACAGAGGAATTGTTCCTAGTCTTTTTCTGGTACGTGCTTTCTTTGATATTTTTCTTTTATGAACCTTAGCTCAGAAACTTTAGTTGCATGATCGATATGCTGTGAGAATTCTGATTATGAAATGCAGAAACTTGACTGTTTGTGTATTCTATATTATTTTCCAGTCATAATGGATCTTCGAAGAATTCATTCATACTGTTAATGTTAAACTTGAATGATGGCTGAATTACTTCTTCTATTTAACTAATGCATGTTCATCAAAATGAAGCCTTTCATTTTAGTTGCACTATGAGCTTTCATTGTTAATTGTATTAATCTGGGGTAATTATTTCTGAGGTCGCATGTTCATCAAAATGCAATGTATATATACCTACCATGGCACTATATATTAAAAGTTATGTGTACTTCAGCAGGTCTCTCATGGTGCCATGCAGTTCATGGTATATGAAGAGCTTCGGAAGATGATTGTAGATTTGAAGAGCAAGGAAAGTGAGATGCATCATCAAAAACCCGATAAGCTGTTGGTGAGCTGATGGACGTTGTATGCACTTAACTTGCTATTGCATATTTTGATTCTTGCTGTGTTTGCTGGATGTTGACCTTCTTGGCCTAGGTTCTTTTAGTGGCTGTTCCATAGGCCAAATTAGGAACCATTGCCCCAGGTACGCAGGGCAAAAGTGATTCCTTATGGATGGTGAGTGTCATAGATTTGACTGAATTGGACAAAGTACACACACACACAGAGGGATCTGTTGCCTCATCATGCTTATAACCAACTACTGAGACAAAATCTTGGTTCCCGAATGTTGTGTGGTATGGGACGCATCCAATATTTGATTCAAGTTAATTTCAAAACTTGCATTGGAATCCCTTTGATGGGCAGTATAATAGTGCATCTCATATTGGCATTTCCATCCAGAACATCAAATTTGTTTTTAAATGTCGGGTACATCAAGCTTGGTTATTGGTGCAGGTAACATTATTTGTATGCCACTAATTGCATGCCTTCCTATCCCTCTTCTTTTCTTGTTACCATTTATTCAATATAAAAGGATTAATCTAATTGAAGTTTAATATAAAATCTTAGATTTAGGAGTTGCGCAGTGCTGCTCTTTATTGCATTGCATTGAATATGCGCTGATGAAAGAAATTTAGCTTTGCTTTCTCTATAACTTCCGAACAATATACCCACCGGCACTCTTCTTTTCCCTCCGTGTTTGATTTGTTACATAGAACTAATAACTCCCTGCTTTTGTACTTAGAGATCCCTGTATTATCTGCATCTGCTAAAGACTCTTTGTCAAGCCTAATAATTATATTGCCTTCTGCATTTCCTTTTCTCCTCAGAATTCTATGGATTACGCTGTTCTTGGAGCAACTTCAAAAGTTGCTGCCACTCTTATAAGCTATCCGTTTCAGGTAGTGGCCCACCTCCTTAATAGGCATGGATCATAGAGTTTTTGGATGTAGTGAATCAAATTGAAAAGTTGCTTTCTGATGAGACATACTGACTGGCTTTTATTCCTTTCCAGGTCCTACGGGCTCGATTGCAGGTATGGGATTCTGATTGAAAAATGACGACTCAATATCAATATAAAATATTAAATTTATAGCAGGTTGCATTATTCATAGATCACAGGAATGAGCTGAAAATTTCTTTCCTCTCTGCAGCAACGGCCAAGTGTTGATGGGATTCCAAGATATATGGATAGTTGGCACGTCGTGAAGGAAACTGCACGGTAAGTAGACACAATTCTTCCAGATTCAGATTTGCATAAATTGCGTGTGGTGGGACTTGTCCTATAAAAAATCTTTTGTAATTTGAATGACATTCAAAATACAGTTATGCTGGTTCTTAAACAATAAGCCCCATACCCCCCAAAAGACAACCTACTGTGTCAAGAGTCTAGAAATCATTCTCACAAAATTGTATTATAGTCTCCGTTGTTCCTGCAGGTTTGAAGGTGTTCGAGGTTTTTACAAAGGGATCACCCCAAGCCTAATGAAAAATGTTCCTGCTTCATCAGTAACATTTATTGTCTATGAAAATGTGCTTAAATTGCTTAAACTAACTAGAAGGAATGACTAGCTTTTTTTTGTTATTTTTTTAAACGTTTTGGGGGCACATATCCTGTCCTTTCTAACATTTGTGATCGTACACATTTTTTCCCATTACATTGATGGGGTCCTATGCACAATATGTAAGCTTATACAGTGGGAACATTTTATGAAGGGCAATAATTTATTAGTTCATAATCGTGTGTTCGGGATGAAAACCAGGTAGATACAATGTTAATTCAAGCTTAATGAACCTTTCCACTGACATTATGTAATGTACCTAGACCCATCAAAACTAAATTATTGTACATGATAAGACATACTGATGAATTCTGTCCGCCACGTTTAGCCCAAATCCAGGGAAGTCTACATATTGCTCTGCAAAGATTGCTTACGAATGAAAGAAAGGATTTCATCGGAGATTTGTTGAGCTTTCTCTTGATTGATGTAATGGTGGCCGTCTATGATAACCACTTCAAGGTCAGGGACGAGGCTTCTGAACATTTCCCCTTGCACATACTCTCTTGTTCCGCCACTAGCAAAACCAATATCTTTGTCTCCAACTATAAACTTGGTAGGAACTGTGACCTTTGCGTCTTGCCATGGTGCGAGAAGCTCCCAAGTCCTGTAATAACAATGACGGTTTTTCCTCTCAATTTAAGACTTCCTAATTTGCTTATTTTTCTTGTGAATATAGTGATTATAGGTGAGAGAAGATAGCAATCTGAGACGGTATTTGCTTTGATGTGAAGAATTGAGATACTTCTAGATTATCCATCAGCAATCCAATACACTAGTATATCAACAAACTCGAGCATAGGTTTTTTTTTTTATTTGGGCCAAAAACTCGAGCATAGGTTGAAATTAAAATGTTTGGGGGAGTTGGACACAAAAATGCGACTTCTATTATTTGTTCTGCAGTGCAAGTATTATTATTTAAAAATTATTGTCGGAAAATAAATGTGCTTATTTACCTCAAAATGTAAATGAATGCAATTTTATATTGTTGGATATTGCTTATTGCAGAGTCCTAACTTCATATAATAAATCCTTGCAATGCATGGGGGAAATCTAATTTAATTTTAAAAAACATAAATTTTTAGCTGCATAGAAATTGTACAGTACATGTTATTTATGTTTTGCATGTGCAACGATTTGAATGTTAAAATCTGCATGTTATCTGAATAAGCAATAAACATATTTTTCTACCAATTTTGGAAGGTCCGAATGTGGAACTTCATCTTTATTACGTGGGCCAATGTTGAGCGATAAAATGAGTTTGACATTTAGAAGATGAAATGTGAAATGAATTTTTCCAAGACAGGTGGGAAAGGATCTAGAGGACCTTAGCACTACCAATGTTTTTACAAGTTTTAAAGCTTCTACGGGTTACACGGTGTTGTTATCTTCTTTAAAAATGCTCAATAGTTTTATTCAAGGGTTTTATTTCTTAAATTTTCCCCAGATACGTTGGCGATTATCATTCTCTTTCCACCAAATGTTATCTGGTAAACCTCCTAGAGTGGATGCTCTGCTTATATAGTTATCTGTCGATTTCAAAGCCTGAGGTCTGAGAAAATGGTAAATTTGGGAAGTAGACAGAGAATCAGGGGAAGCCGTGAAAATACTTACAGGTCCATTGCACGGTAGTAATTGAGAGGGCCAGTGAAACCAGATTCCAGAAACTTGTCAGCGAAAACCTCTAGATCCTCTTCACTCATCCATGAAGGCAAAACTGATGGCGTTGGCAAGAAATCAACAAGCTCCATGCCTTCAGGAGGTGTTAGATGCTCTGCCGTAGTGAGCAATATCTTCTTCATCACTGTCAGACAATCGTATCTGGCAAAAGCTCTCTCTGCTCGTCCAGGTTTCTGCTCACCAGCCCCACAAAACACACCAACTCATGAAATCCCTTCTATGGATAATGCATATGATTCTCTATGAACACAAGCGGATAAGACTACCTGAAACTGGGAGACATGAACCTGATCCCCAAATTTCTGAACGATACCTTCCACTGTTTTGATGGTTGGAGATCTTGGAAAGTATGGAACCGATAGGGCAACGAACCCCTTGACTCTGTCAGGCCTAAACAGACTCAGATGCCACCCAGCCACTGCTCCCCAATCATGTCCAACTACAAATGCCTTTTATTCATTTCGTGGGGAAGATAAAGGCAGAAATATGAAATTATCAAATTCTGAGAGAGATTCAAGCGTGGATGGATGATACATAGGCAAATCATCAAATACCTGGGGTTCAACGAAATGGTCAAGGAGCCCAATAAGGTCGCCGACGAGGTGAAACGCGGTGTAGGACTCGGGGTTGAGGGGAGAGTCAGAATCGCCGTAGCCTCTTAGGTCAGGAGCAACTGCATGGTAGCCTTGTTGTGCCAAGTAATTGAGCTGGTGGCGCCATGAATACCATAACTCTGGGAAGCCATGAAGCAGGAGAACAAGCGGTCCCGTCCCTTGTTCCGCTATGTGCATCCATATCCCGTTGGTTTTGATTCTTTGGTGATTCACTTCACTCATGCTGCCTCTAGCTACCTTGCTTCTTTCTGTTATCCAAAAGGGAAGAGGAGAAGAAGGGTTTTTGGACCAAGAAGAGAGGAGATGATCCAGAGTAAAATAGCAGGTAGGAGGGGATGATGATTTTGATGGGACAAGTCAGAGCACACCTTTGACTAGCTACCCCTTAAAATATCCAATGAGATGACGCAGGAAAGTTGAATTCTAAAGCAATCAGAGCAAGTGCCCAGCTACCGTGTAATGCAATGCACCCGGACGGGTTCCCCCCTCCTTCTCCGGCAGACAAGGGAGACTGAGACAAGACAATAATTAATGAAAATTAAAATAACCTTTGTTATTAGGAAATATTACCTCCTCTTTAATATAAAAAATACTGTGTAATTTAATTCTAAATATAGAACTTTAATTTATTTTTTATATTTATTTATTTTTAAAATAGTTTTTTAGTAGTTGTATATATTAAAATTTTTATCAAATCGTAATTCTAATCAATACATATGATTAACAAAATATTATAAAGAAGATAATATATATTTATTACAAATAATTAATTTTAAATTTTTTTTAATCTATTCATTTAGTCAATTAATTTTTATATCAAGTATTAGATTTTGATCAATTATACAATGTCATGGGTAAGGCATCCAGGAGCAAGACTACAAGAAGTAATTGAATACAGATTTGCGACCTTCCCCGAGTTCAATGAAGTAGCAGAACAGGGAGTCGCAATAATGATCAGGAACGATCCAAGAAGGTAATACGACCGAAAAGCAGAGGAAGGCTTATCCTTCATCATTCCAATTGGGTCATTTTATGAAGACAGCCCAAGAGAACATTTATGTGTTAAACATCATTCCTACGGTAACTTGAGCCAGTAGCATCACAATTGAGTTCAGTTAAAAACGAGTTTTTAAGTCAGCTGCCAATTCCACAGCAGAAAACAGAAATCAATGTATCAGTATATCAAATAATCAAAATATTTACTAAAACAACATTTGCTATAGTTCACATTGTTTATAAATCGACAATAAATATGTTCAACCTACAGCTTGTTATAAGGTCGGGGGAAAAAAATCAATACAAGGACTGTGGTGCTTTTTCCCCTCAATACTATATATCGCAAATCCATAAGTTTAACGACCACAAAGTATTTACTTAGATTAACATGTCAAAAGACTAAGAGATTGATAACGGACTAGTATATTTACCGCATATAATTTTTTTATACCAATAGACTTAATTATATAATATACTGGGAAATAGCATAGCTATTTCCCTGTCTCTCTGAATACCAAAGGAGTTTATAGAATATTTTTTGAGTTAGTTTTTTATATTATTTTATTTTGGAAATGAACATATTATCGACAGGGCATTTGTGGCGGCCTTGTCCCAAAGGAAGCCATTTTGCCGCGTGGGTAATTTGGGGGCCGGGCCAAACTGAAGATTGCGGGGTGGGGGGCACTAGCCGGTGGAAGACTTAAAGATTCACCCGTGTCAGCGTAAAGCCGCAGACTATAAAAGAGGCAAAATTTGGGTTCGCTTTATTGGTTTGTATGGAAAGGTGTTATTGGTCAATTCACGCGACATCAGGAAACAGTTGGCGTTTCGGTTCGTTGTTAAAGGGGGAGAATGTGGCGGCCATGAGAGCGGGAGCCGGCGGCCATCTCACCCATCGATGCGTCTCTTCCAATTTCATTGTCCTCCGCAACCGGCTTCCAGATCCACGGCCGTTCTTTACCCAACCCGTTTTCAACCCAAAATTCATGGCCCAAAAGGCAGATTCCCAGCCGATTCGATCGGAATTGGAAGCTGATGGAAAGGAGAAAGATTCAGAGAAGCTACCTAAAGAAGTCCCTCCGCCGCCGGAGAAGCCTCTGCCCGGTGATTGTTGTGGCAGCGGATGCGTCCGCTGCGTGTGGGATGTCTACTATGAAGAGCTTGAAGAATATAATAAGCTGTATAAACAAAATCAGACTCCTAAATCATAGCATTCTTGGATAACTTCCGATTGTTTAGTCATCGCCTGTGATGGCAGATTTGTTGTAATTTGCTGAACTATCATGCTGAACTATCAGATTTGTTGTAATTTAGTCATCTGTTGTAATTTTATAACGTAGGTATAAGATGAAGTGGGGTGCAATTTGATCTCAGGTCCTTCCTATCCATTCATTTTCATCCCCACGAATTTGTATTTTTCTTCCTGTTATTTCATAATTGCTCTAATCAAGAAAATGTGCTGAATTTTGACTTCCCGGGAGTTGCATTATCTTCTAATTCTGCTGAAAATGACCATAATATGTGGATGCACTATATATACCTACGTGTATATCTCTATATGAATGTTGAATCCAATCTAATGGAGGTTAGTTTTTGGTCGTTAATTTGATAGATAACATTAAAAATTTAAATTCTTACACTGAGATTCTTAAATCAACTGTACATGTTTGTCCCATGTCATGACACAGATTTCGGTCGCCACATGCCTTTCTTGGCGCAGAGCAAACCCTCTTGGCTTTTAGAGGAGGTTATTTCCCAATGTAGAGATCTCAATAAACTTTCCACTTCCCCAAATGTGTCAGAGTCATCGCGGATGACCAATTTACCTCCTGGTCTTGCTATTCTATCAACCTCTGCCATTACAGGAACAAGATTGCATCTGAAGGGCAAAAAACAACAAAGCAGGATTAGTAATTTCACTATAGGGTGGAAGGTTGAAAATTTCACAACTTCCATGCCTACCTGTTCTTCAACTTTGAGAAAAGTCCATCTGCATGTAATAGGTCATACGTTCGTGGATAGGTGCTAAAAGATTCACACCAATCATGATACATTCCAAAAAGACCCCGCTCATATATGATAGGAAGTGTGTCCGGAGAATCTATGTTCACCACATTCAGTACCCAAACTGGAAGATCCCTCAAAGCTGCTGCAAATCTGCAAAAACAAACACGGCTTATCTTTGATGGCTATATAAATATATATATATATATATATATATATTCTAACTAGATTTCATGCTCGTGTTGCATAGAACTCCAGACCAACTGTTCACAACTATGTGAACAATACGGCTTTATTAGTTTTTATACACATAATGAAGGATGCAGCCGGAGTTTTATCTATACCCTCCATAGACAGCTCGCATGTCCATGATATTTCTCACATTAGACCAAGTAATGCCGATGTTGCTCAACTCATCTACAACGTTTTTCCAACGTTCAGTGTCTGCTACGAAATCTTGAGAGGGTAGCTTCCCATAGATTCCCATTTGCAAATCGTTTAACCAATAGGGGACTTTGCGCAGCCGATTAGGCCAAGCCTCAGGCCATCTAGCCCCTCTTTCATCCTTGGTAGCCGGCACCTTGTGCAAACAAGCCTGCAGAGGTACGTACCTGTAAATATGATATGGCTAATCAAGATTAGAACTCTGATTTGTAATCTGCAAGTGTGATGCTTCTCTGAAGTTGTCGTCTTCAAGCAATGATTTACCAAGATGCATTTGGATCGTCATTATCACTGCATATTGGAGGAATGTTTTGCTGCCTTTGCTCATAGCATTCATTGGAAGTGGGTTTGCGGTAAATGGCCGCACCAATGCTGTTAAGTTTATCCTTGCTGATGGTCACGAGTTCCCAACACATTGACTTGGTTAGTGAGGACATTTCTAGAAGAAAATTAGGAAAGGTCAGCCTCGTATATATTACTCATCTTTTTTCAGTGCAGATTACGTATGTATTTTTCTACCATTCCATATCTGGACGTCTTCTTGGAGCTTTTGGTACACTGGAGTAGCAGACCAGACAAAATAACCGCCGGGTCTAAGAAGACGGTTCAATTCCAAAAGCAACAAGCCACCTTGAACAAAGTTATACATTTCTCAGAAGCTATAATCAAAGTAGAAGTATCAGTTTTAAATAGAACAAGAGTGTTAGTGAGGACCATCTGCATGCCAAGGCACTCTACAACGCGCACAATGTACAAGATCAAAGACCATGCTAGGGAATGGCAGCCTTTGAGAACCCATTACTGCAGATATGGCAGGTATTCCTCTCTCAATAGCAAATTGCACTTGGGCTACGTGTTCATCTTTTGGTGCAAAAGACATTGCAAGTACATCTCTCTCGAATAAATAACCTCCAAAACTGCCGACCTCACATCCAACATCCAAAACCACACGAGTCTGCTTGCCCCATGCTACACTAGCTTCAGCCTACAACCACATACCATTTTATCCACCAAAATTACAAGAGATGTGAGCTTTATTGGCAAGAGAGTTCAACCTAACAACTTAAATTCTCATAAGTAATGTTTAATTTAAATTTTGAGCTAGCATGGAATGAATTTTTAAATGCGTTTTGCTGGGTGCTAGGTGGGTACCATCAAATGGTCGGGTCAAAAAGATTTGTAGCTTGTTACCTCTTGAATAAAATCAATGTAGTGGAGAGCGCCATGAATGAATTGAGTGCCACCTCCAGGGAATGTCAGAAACTCACCTGTCACCTTCACCCAATTCTGGTGCCCTTTTACCTCTGCCAGTAGTGTGTGGGGTACGTTGTAGTACCATATCTGCTAAAACACAATAGTATGGTTTTAATTTTATTTGAAGGCCCCTAATTCGTTCAATGGTTCAATTATTATGTTGAAGCACTTCACCTTGTCTCTGCTACTAGGCCATTCAATAGGCGTCTTGTAACCTTTCGGAAGTGGCACCAAGCAAGTTGGTGCATCCTCTGGGCAATGTCTTTCTCTGTGTTCATAGTGTATAGTACTGCGTAACTGCTTCAAAGCCTTCTCATTGTCTAAACAAGGAATATAATCTGCACTTGCCGTGACATTGCAGAGATGCCACTCGTAATCTTGTAAACTTTCTGACTCTGTACCTTTTGATTCGTCCTTCCGTCTCTCTTTTTCGTTCTGCGATTGATCTGCTTGGGTTGACCATGACTTATTGTACCCCTCAGACAAAGATTTGATCTCCTTTGATTGTTTTGCATTTTTGTTTCCACTCGTCCGCTTCTGTTTTCCTAATTTTGGTTTCTGTGTCTCCTGTTCGAATTCTGTCTTGGTCAGTTGAGAGCTTTCGTCCTCAAGTGCTGCATGGGATTCTAGCTGTGAATCTGTAGACGTGCTGTGGATGTCGGAGTCTAGGGAAACGTTAGAGCTGTTGTCTTGTTTCTGATCTTGTTGCTTTTCATCTTCCTCTGCAATCTCCCCTTTGTCTTCTCTCAGTTGTTTCTCATTCTGTTCATCTTCATCATTTTTAGATTCTTGATTATTAAAATGATTTAAACCTTGTCGCTGTCCTGAATTTTGTTCCTGGTTTTCATTGGCATTTTCATTTTGATCTTCTGCATTTTTGTTTTGCTTTGTATCGGAGTTTTCATATCGATTATCAAAATTCCTAACATCTGGTTGTTGCTCTGCATTTACTTCTTGATTTTCCTCGGTATTAACATTCTGATATTCAGTGTCTTTGTTTTCCTTCATATCCGAGTTTTCATCTTGCACTCCAGCATTCGCTTCTGCATCATTTTGGTTTCCATCAGAAGCTTCACCGGCAATACTACTCCCCTGAACTTCTTCAAACCCAGACATTTTCGCATCAGCGCGCTGGCGATCATTGTCGGCATCCGCTTCATTTGTCTCGGATGCCCCTTCGTTTTGAGTCAGTGTATCTCCCTCTAATAGTTGAGCCTCACTAGTAAAACTCTGGTCGTCATGTGGATCTTTGTTGACGTCAGAATTGAGGATACCGTCATCAAACTTGACGGCGCCATTTGAGAGATGATCAGGATTGTCTTCATAGCCACGATTGATTTTCTGGTCATGACTTCCGGAGGTGATTTCGGCCGAGTCCATGAAGGAAGAGATGTCATTCTGGGTTTCAGAGGCATCAATGGCCTTACGAATGACAGTGGTACGCTTCTGAGGTTGATCTGCGGGATTGAGGTTTATCCTCCATACAGCGAGAACACAAATTGCAATCACGACTAGGACGATTAAGGTTGGTGCATAAGACAACAATGAAGACCTCCTGTTGTTCCGGGATTTAGACAATGCCATGAGATTATGGACTCGGGGGGGATGAAATAGGGTTTGATTTTTTGTTGAGGAAGACGACCATGGAGGGAGGTGTGGAGGAGAAAGGCGACGAAAATGAACGAATGACTGAAGACGATGGGAAGAAATGACCGAGGCAAGTGCTGCAACTCGGAAAATGGAAAATTATTCAAAGATCCAGAAGAGTCGGATTAGGGGATTTTATTGGCGCATCATGCATGCGTCGGGGCAGACGAGAAGCGACTCGAGTCTTGAGACTTCACTTCAGTCTTCATTCCCTAACAATGGGCCAAGAGTTGGGCCACCCCGTGATTATCCAGAAGCCCAAAGCTTAGACTGGACCCGTATCTTCTGGGCCAGTGCTCCAGCTGAATTAGTGGGTGTCTTTGTTTTGGGGTATCCTTATTTCCGGTCAACCTAAATTATTAATTATGCATTTTCACCCCCCAGGTTCTTGATTGGCGAATTATGTTACTTTGTCAAAGTTTTCGAGAGAATCTTCGTTATTATATTAATATCTTGGGGTTCGAGCATTATTAATATACTTTAGTGCAAGATCCAAAAGTTAGCATTTTGTTTTACTATCCCGGTACTTAATATAAGACTTTGTTTGATTTTTAATTTGGTCTTAAATATAAGACTCTAAATTACTTTGTCTCTCATATTTATCTATTTTTTTTTAAGATAGTGTTTTAATAATGGTAGTTTTAGATAACAAACTTGATTAGTAAGGATATTTTAGAAAAAACAACACATATTCATTATAAATAACTGACTTAACTAAGTTCCTTAATCTCTTCAAATTAGTCAACTGGGTCTTATAATTAAGACCGGAGGTAGTATTTTATTAGGGGAAGCGGATGATATAACTTCAACTCAAAATATGCTGCTTAACCCTCGCATTTTCAACTATTCAGACCGAAGTCGAGAGGTAATTATGTTATATTGTTGACACCCAAATCAAACCATAGTCCCACCGAAGGCCGTTAAAACAAGAGCAGCGATATTTAAAGACACGGATCTTCCATATTAACGAACGTAATCAGTTTCAGCATCGGCAGAAGAATATTATTACTCAGTAAAGGCCAAAATTTGCGTGAGAAAACTGGAATGGATGTGAGATATGTGGTTGGGAAGGTTAGTTTCTCAAAAAGGGATGCCTTACAGTGGTGAGTGGGCATACAAAAGGACTTGAATTAGGTACCAAACGAGATTTTTTATGGCGTCCGGACAAAATGAATCTTTGAAAATTATGGTGAGGACAGAAGGATATGCACAAAAGGGGACAAGAGAGTATAATTTGTTGCAGGCAGGAAGCCGATTGATGACCTTACCTACATTTGTTAATCTACAAAAAACCAAAACGGCCAATCAAGTCCTCTCTGTCTTGGTGAAGCTTTTTTGGGTTCCAATTCAATGCGAGCCATTCCTTCCTATTCTGATCCCTTTTCACTTTCCAAAGGGTTAGTGGTGGGTCGCCTTTCATTCATGCCATTACAGTTACGGGGTAACAATCATAAGCCCGTTTTAAGAATTTAAAAAATAAATTCACATGTACTAATGTCCTGTAGTCACGTGATGAAATTTTCTCCAGTACAAGACGATGGACAACGACCCTTGCTCCTCATTAATATCGGAAACTTATTACACCCAAGCCGAACGAACGGCTCTAAAATTCGAGCTTTTCTGTAATGCTAATAAAAAAAGTTATTTGTAGTCTCATATCATAACACTGTGGCATGTAAAGCCAAAGTGATGAGGAGGGTATTCATCTTGGAAGGGCCACATCCTCTGATTAATCAGAAGAAAGGTTCTTGTCTGGTGGCCCACGTCCATTAGGGAGAGGTATTTTCACTGTGATGTGATAGCCATTTGAATTGATGGTCTCTCTCGCAAACTGGTTTCCAACCTTGATCCAATTCAAAGGTTGTTTAGATTCTTCCCTCTTTAGCTCCCTTTTCTTTTTCTTTTTCAATGACAATAATAATAATAATAAGCTAGTGACCTAATGGTAAACACAAGGAGACCTATGCCACCTGGGGTCATCACTCAAAGGGCACTGTGAATAATGTATTTTGCTGGGTGCATGGCACCTTGAAAGCTCTCGGTCTTTGGTCATATCATCTTATATCATCATCTTCTTCACTTTGGAATGATTGAGCCCACACTGTGTTAAAATTCCCAATTTTGGCTGATTATAGGTCAGGGATCTAAAGTGTATATGAACAATAATTAAAATAAATAAAAGGCTATACAGTGATTTAATGTCTTCACCACCCATCAGCTTAATTAGGACCCATGAGCATCCTAGCCAGACCTTTTTTAAATTCAGCGTTTGATCCCAAAAGGCAACTGCAATAGTGCACTGTAGCTTTGATAATTCTATATATAAGAACATTGATTTGTCCTTGATTGAAGCCCTCCCATAAATATGCCTTTGTACAATTCTGTACACGTCAAATAATTAAACAGGTTTAGGGGCAGATTTTAGAGCACGGCTCGCAGCACGTTGTGTTGAAGAAAAAGAAAAGTGCGAAGATCTTGCACTTGGTGTTGGTGAAAAGAAGAAAGAAAAAAGGATTTTATATTGGCATTGAATAATGAAAAAGCGCTGCATGCAAAGTTTGATGTTGCCTTATTGCTATATTGGGCGGTGCATCACTCTCACCAAGCACTCAGACCAAAGTATATATGGATGGCACTTATGAGCTACTCGAACAATCGAGGCAACTTCGAATCGAAGAGGATTTCCAAAGCTACGCAGCCAAAAACTTGACTTTTTTTTTTCCAATTCTTTTTTGTTTGTTAATTAAGTGGTTTACTAATCTAAGGAGCCTAAGTAAATAAGTAAAGCTTTATGACTGGAAAGATTTGGAAATTCTCGCTTTGGGACAGGTTGAAGTGGCTAGCTATATGTACGTGGCTGATTGTAGATCACAGAGACCCTACTTAAAGTCGAAGACAATCATCAAGACACATTTTATAACGAAACTGATACTGTATATTTTTGGGAAACTAGGACAATCAATTTTGATGATCCAAAAGATTCTCTAACTTTTTTCGTGTAGGGAGGCCGCATTACTGGTTTATGTGATGTATGCGTACGTACGCGTGCTACGAAAAGTGCATGTTCATCGTAGTGTACACAGAACTGGGACTTCATCTTAAATTTTTAAAGACTGAGATGCTTCTGTTACGGTAGATTCTTCTTTAAGGAAAATAAATCAGATCGTGGGGTAGGACTGGTACGTAACAAGAAGAATAAGACACAACGCCCTCAGGTTCATGCTCTTTTTTGGAAAACCCTTTTGGGTTTGGTCCGACTTTATTTCTAATCTTAACAAACATTGGGCCATGACGTCGTCGTCGCTAATTAAATATTTGTTTATCATAACTTGATTATCTCGTTCCCAAATCGGCTCATTATAAAATCCCCATTTTTTTAGCATGTAAAAAAACGAGGCAATCATGTGCCACCCCAGCAGATTAACTTGTTCTAACTATACTTGGTGAATTATTGTACTGCACAACATGAACTTGTGTCAGGAAGAGCGCATTATTGTGCATTACATAAGTAACTGAGAATAGGAAAACAAAGTCATCAGAGATAGGCGCGAGGGGATGGATTATTACCTTATTTTGATCAGTGAATGGTGTATGCATTTCCCTTTTTCTTAGTTTGGAGAATAATCTGCAACAGTTGCGAAAGGTTTTCAAGATGATGTTTAAACTGTTTGTGATATTCACATGCACATGCTTCTGCTTCTTCCTTTGTTTCTTTTTGCTCTTTTTAATCATTCGCAGGCGACAATATATATATGTGAGTGTGTTTTCAAATCAAATATGTGCAACACTATTTGGAAGATGATGGACACACAACAGCATTTCAAAGTGAAGTTTCATGTCCGTCTTTTGACACAAAGCTGGTTCTTGAAGTGCTTAATTGGGTTAACAACTTTACTTTTTCTGCCCACATGACGCTATAATAATGACATGGTCTTCGTAAAAGCAGTAGGCCGAAAGATGATCGAGAGTAGTTAAAAGATCAATCCTTTTGAGCCCACAAAATCATAATTACATATAGTTCATTAATTAGGCCACAATTTAGCGAATTAGGCAACTTTAAAAAGTCAATGATCTCCTAAAAAGCTTTTTAAAGTTTGGTTTCTAGGGTGGGCATGGACGAATGACTAAGTCGCCAAACCAATAATGACACATATCATCGCCACAACTCATGCATGTCGGTGCAAATTCCAAAACCAAACAATCGAAAGTGTTCGGGGTTTTTTTTTTTACCCAATTTTTTTAAATTATTCGTGGAATTTTAGGTCACCCTATAAATTCTAAATAACGTAACTGAACAGGACGTTTATGCAAGTTACTTGAATAATAAGTACCGGGTGAACTCTGGTTATAGGGCTTTTTGAAAAAAAAGAAAAGAAAAACTTTAGTTAGTTGGGTGATAATAAACTAGCTACACACAAATGAATTATAGTTGCATTATGAGTGCAACGACACCACTCATGGCAAAGTCAAGTGCGTATGTAGACATGTGGTCCATAGCTAGCCAGAGAAAATGAGAAATCAAATCGGTGTATTCGGATGCAGTGTCAGCTATAGATTGAGACCTGATAGATAATGGCACCTAGAAGCCTTTAATTTTGTTCTAAATCATCAATGTTCATATAGCATTAGGACCCCTCAAGCTCTGTGGCGTCCTTGACTGGAAAACTTCAATTCTAAAACATCTTCAGGCTTCAGCGCCAATTGTATTTAACAAACTAAAGGTAGCCCCGCGAAAAAAGTTGTGTATATCTACTCTGCCTTACGAAAGCCGGGGCTAGTCCTGATGGATGCATCGTCAGGTAGGGCTGTGCAAAAACCCAGTGGTCCGGTATGGTCCGGTCCAACCCGAACAAACCCGGTCCAGTCCGGTCCAAAAAAAATTGGCCCGAAACAAGACTGGACCAGACTGGACCGGACTTGTCTCATCGGGCTGGACTGGACTAGGGACTGACCCCTCAGACCAGTTGGTCCAGTCCAGTCTAGCCCGATTTTTTTAAATTATTATTTATATAATTTTAATTTGATTTAATTTTTCTATATAAATTTTTTATCTATTCAAATAATTAAGATTTATCTATTAACTTTCAAAGTAATGAGCATGCATATATATTTTCTACAATTTAAGATTTATATTGATGAGAATTAATTAATAAAACATGACTTCATTGGGAAATTGAAAAGGAATGATCAAATTTGATAAATTTTGAATTAAAATATGTGTAAAATTTTATATAGTAAGTTACAATCTTGCCTCTTATTGAAGAAAAAAATTTAAAAAAAAAAATTAAAATTAGCTCTGGACTGCCTGGACTGGTCCAGGCAGTCCAGAGGACCAAGTCCAGTCCAACCCGACCTCGGGTTGGCACTGGACTGGACCAGACCTCGGGCTGTTTTTTTCAGCCCGAGGTCTTTACTAGACCAG